GTTATCATACCAGGACTAGCAAGGATTTTCCACGAAGGATGTTTCACTACAGCTTAACTGAAAATCTTTGACATGTCTTGGAAGGGAAGGTGATATTTTCTCAGATATATATTTTATTTTCTTCGAGCACGAGCGAGGGAAAAATTGACCTCGAAACGGACGTATGATTTTAGTTCTTCAAGGATGCTCAAGAATTGTCATGACTAAAAATCTTCGACAAGTCTTGGATCGAAGGTTAACATTTTGTCAGACATGCATTTCCTTCCCTCGAGCACGAGGGAGGGAAAAATCGACACTGAAACGGACTTGGTATTTTATCTCCTCAAGGGACCGCCTTGGGAGATAATTAAGGACCATCGGATTCGCGACAGAGGGAAATCCCGTAAGTTTCCTGGACAGAGTCCTGGAAATCCTGGAGGAGCTGTCAGAGCTCCCGGGGAAAAAGTTCCTGGGACTTGCACAAAACTGGCAGCTTCGGAGAGGGCCGGCCATTAATTATTACCGCGCTAAAAGTTGAACGTCGAGCAAGGACGAGGACTCAGGACCCTCTCTACTGGAAAGGACAAGATCAGAGGATGAAGCAGGAGTTCCGACTAAATTCAACCAGTCCACGGGTTTGGTTTTTCCTGGGAAACTGGGTATTGCTTTAATAATTAAAAGACGTCGAGCAAGGACGAGGATTCAGGACCCTCTCTACTGGGAAGGAAAAGATCAGAGGATGAAGCAGGAGTTCCGACTAAATTCAACCAGTCCACGGGTTTGGTTTTTCCTGGGAAACTGGGTATTGCTTTAATAATTAAAAGTTCGACGTCGAGCAAGGACGAGGATTCAGGACCCTCTCTACTGGGAAGGAAAAGATCAGAGGATGAAGCAGGAGTTCCGACTAAATCCAACCAGTCCACGGGTTTGGTTTTTCCTGGGAAACTGGGTATTGCTTTAAGGTGAAGTGAAACACGTCGATTAACTTGATCAACGTCGATAAAGAGGATTTTTCTAAATGCCTACGTTGCCGACGTTCGTTTTTATGTCGACAGCTGGGTCGAATTATATTGTGTATTGTACCAAATGGCATATTCCACCTGTCGTTTTCGTACAATAATTATAAAGGAATCGAAGTAAATCTCCAGAAATCCTCTGGATTCATGCTTTCTGGGGCCCTAATTGACTGCAGAGGGACCCCGTGCGCCATCTGTGATTTCCAGGTCAATTAAATTTTCACTCCGAGACCTCGTATTCCCATCGTTTTAGCATAGAAGCGCATACAACACTTTTTTTGCCTTTATCCCGTTCAAATGCGAGTTTATCGATTACCAGAGTGTTCTAAATTGTCGTAAAATTGTCCTGACCCTTTCGATTCTCATATCAGAGCCTTCGATAATTATATACTGATCGAAATATGAGAAATCGACGCCATTTTGGTTCTGGTCTGGACTGAGTTAAAAAATTTGTTTGAAGAATCCAAATTTTGAATGTGTCAGGACAATTCTTGGATGATCAGGAGTGACGTGTCAAAGTTTCGGATAGTTTGGTCTAATACCCTTAAAAAGAAGTGTTGTATTCGAATCGACTGATTTGAAGGGTGTTTCACTTCACCTTAAAAGTTCGACGTCGAGCAAGGACGAGGACTCAGGACCCTCTCTACTGGAAAGGAAAATATCAGAGGATGAAGCAGGAGTTTCCACCAAATCCGACCAGTCCACGGGTTGGTTTTTCCTGGGAAACTGGGTATTGCTTTAATAATTAAAAGTTCGATGTCGAGCAAGAACGAGGACTCAGGACCCTCTCTACTGGAAAGGAAAATATCAGAGGATGAAGCAGGAGTTTCCACCAAATCCGACCAGTCCACGGGTTTGGTTTTTCCTGGGAAACTGGGTATTGCTTCTCTTTCACTGTTCTTATTCCATAGCGTGCCTACTCGCCCGGTTTTTCTCTCCTTTTTATCTCCCGTTCCAGGAGACGCTCCTGCGAGACCTGCGGCTCTTTCTGGAGAGACTCTCGGCTCCAAAGACATTCCCCAGGGAATTCAGTTCGACCATGAAAAGCAAAGGAAACGACGACCGGGAAATCTATTCCCGAAGGCGCGCAGGGTTTTACTTCCTTTTTATACAAGTTTCTGACTCTTCGATTTCCATAAAGGAGTACCCTTCAATCCCGCCATGTCGGATGGAAAATGGATTCCTCCCGAAACACTGAAAGAAGGTAACTTTAAAAAAAATCAGATCAATTCTCCCTGGGTTTAACGGCGTTCACCACCAAGTGAGGACGATGACTTCCACCGCTAGATGGCATTAGCATCGAATTCGGTGGGAGGTAACCAAAACGTACTTTCTCGCTCGGATGAGGGAGACGCGACGCATAATGGGCAGTGTTTAGCAACGGGCGAAAAATGTGTGCGTATTTTGCACGTATACAACTCACACAACGGCTAGACGCCTCTGGACTAGGCGCCGAAACGTGTGTGACCCTCGGCCGCACGCACACGCAAGTTGGACGCTCCGCCTAGAGTCGGCAACGGTTGCTAAGGAATGCCCAAATTCCTCGCGAGAAACTTGAAAATCCTGAAAAAGGTGCTCCACGGGGACAACGATTTTGAGCGTATTTCTCAACCGATTGAGCTCAACGAGTGCTCGTTTTAAAGATAAAATGTTGACGTGTGTTTATATGGGAGCGATTTTCGATCGAGCACCTCCTTCCTAGGTAAAAGGGCATTGAAATTATGTCGTTGCACTTTTTTATATGAAAATGACCACTTATCGAAAATCGCTCCCATATAAACACAGGTCAACATTTCATCTTCGATATGAGCACTCGTTAAGCTCGATCGGTTTAGAAATACGTTCGGAATCGTTGTCCCCGTGAGGCCCTGCAAAATCGCTGGAGTGGTGAGCGCCCTTAATATTTGTCTAAAACCTAAGCGCTCGTCTTAAGATCCTTTATCTCACGTTCATGATAACTTTTTATCATTTTAGTTACGCATTTTATTATTATTTCCGGGTGAATTTCTGAAAAGCGAGAGGACGGGAAACGCCGCCATTAGTGAGAAATGTAAAGGAAGGTATTGCATAAAAAATGAGGATAATTTTCCCTGGATTAAGTATTCTTTTAAAACCTAAGCACTCGTTTTAAGAGCCCTTCATCTCCTGTTCATAATGATTCGTATAATTTCAGTTACAGAATTTCATTTTCATCTCTTTGTGGATTCCTGGAAAGCGAGGGAACGCGAACGCGGCGCTTCAAAGCGAGGGTAAAATTCATTCGGGTGAATGAAATTCGCCGTACGAAACGAACGAGCAGATTTCTACTGGAAATGGCAAATTCATTTCCGAACCGGTCTGCGGGACGAATAATTGTTTCCATTTTTGTATGCAGAATTCCGAGGCCTGGATGCGACGAGGCGGACGCGGCTTTTAATTTTCCTTTGCATGACCCATATACAGAGGACGAGGACTGCATTACTTTCTGAGGACATCCTCTCAGGACGTTAAGGATCATCCCGGGATGATCCCGGTAAATCCCGGGGATGTCTATAGGAGTGGCCATTTGCATCCAGGCTCCGGTCTGTCCTCTTAAAAGAGGACTCCGTGAATTTCTTCTCCAGCGGATGTAACTTTAATGGAGCGCGCTAAAAAATGAGAAAATGTTATCATACCAGGACTAGCAAGGATTTTCCACGGCTAATTAAGGTGAAGTGAAACACGTCGATTAACTTGATCAACGTCGATAAAGAAGATTTTTCTAAATGCCTACGTTACCGACGTTCGTTTTTATATTGACAGCTGGGTCGAATTATATTGTGTATTGTACCAAATGGCATATTCCATCTGTCGTTTTCGTACAATAATTATCAAGAAATCGAAGTAAAACTCTAGAAATCCTCTGGATTCATGCTTTCTGGGGCCCTAATTGACTGCAGAGGGACCCCCTGCGCCATCTGTGATTTCCAGGTCAATTAAATTTTCAATCCGAGACCTCGTATTACCATCGTTTTAGCATAGAAGCGCATACAACACTTTTTTTGCCTTTATCCCGTTCAAATGCGAGTTTATCGTTTACCAGAGTGTTCTAAATTGTCGTAAAATTGTCCTGACCCTTTCGATTCTCATATCAGAGCCTTCGATAATTGTATATCGATCGAAATATGAGAGCTCGACGCCATTTTGGTTCTGGTCTGGACGGAGTAAAAAAATTTTTTTGAAAAATCCAAATTTTGAATGTGTCAGGACAATTCTTCGATGATCAAGAGTGATGTGTCAAAGTTTCGAACAGTTTGGTCTAATACCCTTAAAGAAAAGTGTTGTATTCGAATCGACTGATTTGAAGGGTGTTTCACTTCACCTTAAAAGTAGACCGAGAGAAACAATGCCACCGAACCGGAGAAATATTTCTTTGAATTGTGCCTAAGAAATATTTTGTTAATTCGAAGAATAATTGTTTCACTTGAATAAAATCGAATAAATTGGATGCCTTTTTTTTCCCCGAATTATGACGATTTATTTAAATTCTTTGGATTAAAAAATAGTTTATTTTCGATGTAGAATCGGAATTTAGACTGAGTTCTCTCGGGGACCTTTTGTCCTGGACGAGAATTTAACCTCCTCTTAAATTTGGAAATATTTAAGGTAACTCTTTACGAGAAATTAATTAAGTTCAAGTTAAAAGAAAATTATAATTTAAGTAAAAAGGATATTATTCTGGGAGTTGGGAATAATTCAGGATTGAGCGCTTTCCTTGAATCCGATTGATCAGTTTAAAAGACAATGCGTTTAATTACTCGGTTCTCTCGGTAGGATTATTTATTGTAAGCTTCCTTGTCAACCAGGATAATTGGAAGCGTCTCGGTGTAAGTCCTTTGCAATCCACTTTGCGAAAATAATAATCCCCGAGGGGATCTTCCCGAAGAGTGGAAAAGCAGGACTAAATACTATATATAGACGTTCGCATACAGCCTTGATACATAAATAGAGAATTAAAATTCCCGACTTCTCTTTTTATCGTACTTAAATGACTTCTATTAAATTCCTGGTATATCGGCGATTCTCGAAAATTCCTGGCATACTTTACATAGACATTCGTGTACTTCCTTAATATTAGACTGTACAATTAGAATTAACGATTTATGAAGTAACTCTTTATCGTGTCTAAACAATTCCTGGAAAATTCCTGGAAAATCGAGATTCTTGAAAATTCTTCGAAAATCGGGATTCCTGAAAATTCCTGGAAAATCGGTGATTCTTGAAAATTCCTGGCACAGCTCTGAGGCGTTTATAAGCGACTGCGTTTCGAGACATTTACTTAAGATACCCGGCGATAACATCTTCAAGAATGAGAACGCCTTTACGATAACTGCGAGACGTAGGGGACCCGTAATGTGCAATATCTGAAGGAAACGTGTGAACATTGTACCTCATGCATACAGTAGAAACATGTTATATCTTTTATGGCATGGCTGTGCGACCCTTTCATGGTCTCTGCATTTGTGGAAAATAAAGCCGACGACACGTCTAAAGGAAAGGTATTAAAACCCTAAGGCTTTTCTGCATGGTATTAAATTTTATGCATTTAATCACTCCTTATGTCTCACCTCTTTTTGCATCTGGTCTATGGCGGTGGTTTCTCGGGACTTCACGGAGTATGTTTCGAGGAAAGTTTGGTTGAGATTCATCCTGAACTCCAGGCCGACTTCTTCTTCGTAGAGACGCGCCATTGCTCCGACTCCAGCTTCCAGGACGAGGACCGCCATCACCACGAAGATGTACTGGAAGTGAAAGAAAATTATTACAAGTTGCACAGATTATATCTGTACTTGGCGCGAAACTCTGCCGAGTTTCTTAATCGAGGAGGCGTCTTAGAAGTAGGGTTAGCTGATTTAAGTCAATGGATTAAAATTACGATTAAGAAGTAATCGATTTGAATCGCAGTTTTTATCTTTTAAAACGAATTCATGATTTTTATCAACCCTGCCTCGAAGATAAAATTACGATTATAATGAAAATTATGAAGATTAAAATTACGATTATAACGAAAATTACGAAGATTAAAATTACGATTAAGAAGTAATCGATTTGAACCGCAGTTTTTATCTTTTAAAACGAATTCATGATTTTTATCAACCCTGCCTCGAAGATAAAATTAAGATTATAACGAAAATTACGAAGATTAAAATTACGATTATAATGAAAATTACGAAGATTAAAATTACGATTGAGAAGTAATCGATTTGAATCGCAGTTTTTATCTTTTAAAACGAATTCATGATTTTTATAAACCCTGCCTCGAAGATAAAATTACGATTATAACGAAAATTACGAAGATTAAAATTACGATTATAACGAAAATTACGAAGATTAAAATTACGATTAAGAAGTAATCGATTTGAACCGCAGTTTTTATCTTTTAAAACGAATTCATGATTTTTATCAACCCTGCCTCGAAGATAAAATTACGATTATAACGAAAATTACGAAGATTAAAATTACGATTGAGAAGTAATCGATTTGAATCGCAGTTTTTATCTTTTAAAACGAATTCATGATTTTTATCAACCCTGCCTGGAAGAGATACTACAAATAATGCTTGGTGTCGTTCTTGCAGTTGCGATATCATTTTGGAAGAATTTTACAATTTGTAACGATTCCAGATCGGTCCATTCTCTATTCTGTTCCAAAGTGATTGTTTTCTTTTTTCAGTCATTTCCAGAGTCGATCCTCCACTGCGAACGCCTTCAGATCGTAATAGTAGCCTCGAGGAATTCATGCGAGGAATCGCCAGGACGAGTGAAAATGGCCGATTTATGGCATTACTGGAAGTGCTGCCTCTCGTGGAGGATTCCGGCGTAATGGGGTGTAATGGTGGATACTTAGGTATCTCCGGAGAGAAGTGCGCGATCAGCTTTTCCTCTGGAAACTGCCGGGAGTTTTGAATGTCCAGTCATTGACACGACCGGTTCGACGTCACGTGTTATCAGGATTTTTATATAACAAAAAAATTGCATCGCCGCTCTCAACATGCAAATACTAAGCATAAACTCGTGACAACATTTTACATCAAGTTTAATGAGACAGTTTCATTATTTTTATGTCAACATAATAATTGATAGAGAAACAGCGGATGGAGTTCAAATTTCGCGCGCGGAATTAAGGTGACACGAAAGTGGCCTCTGAGATGTCAAATGGTTTATAAAACTTTTCTTTCAATTGGGTGTACCGAATTGTTTGAAACATTCTCACGAGAATATGGAGATCCCATGGAAGGTCCTTACGACCGTAAAATTGAATTTCTTGTATGAAATTCAAGAATGCTTAAAAGGAAATTTCAAAAAATTGAAATCTCATGCCAGGACCTTTCTTAACGTGAAGTGAAACACGTCGAGGAACTTGATCAACGTCGATAAAGAAGATTTTTATTTATGCTAGTAATTATAAAGAAATCGAAGTAAAACTCCAGAAATCCTCTGGATTCATGCTTTCTGGGGCCCTAATTGACTGCGGAGGGACCCCCTGCGCCATCTGTGATTTCCAGGTCAATTAAATTTTCACTCCGAGACCTCGTATTACCATCATTTTAGCATAGAAGCGTATACAACACTTTTTTTGCCTTTATCCCGTTGAAATGCGAGTTTATCGATTACCAGAATGTTCTAATTTGTCGTAAAATTGTCCTGACCTTTTCGTTTCTCATATCAAAATCGATCGACGCCATTTTGGTTTTGGTCTGGGCTGAGTAAATAAATTTTTTTGAAAAATCCAAATTTTTAATGTGTCTGGATAATTCTTAGTTGATCAGGAGTGATGTGTCAAAGTTTCGGACAGTTTGGTCTAATACCCTTAAAAAAAAGTGTTGTATTCGAATCGACTGTTGTGAAGGATGTTTCACTTCACCTTAAGGTAAGGTATTCACGTGTAAAATTTCAAACGACTCGATCCAGTTGGTTCGAAGAAAAGTTTCATAAGCCATTGATCCCTCGGAAGTTACATTCATATCGCCTTAATTCGAGGGGGCCGGTCCAGGGTGTACACTGGCGGACATAAATGCCTTCCCGCGGCATAAAGGCGGTATTACATCCCTAGCGAAGAGTCCACGTCCTTTAACGTACAAAGTTGATAAAAGTCAGGCGACGAGAGTTTTTTCCAAATCGGCGGGTACACTGGCAGACATAAATGCTTTTTATTCCATTAAGGCGGTATTACATCCCCAATTTAGAGTCCATGTCTTTCGAGGTACAGGATGAGTTATCCCGAGATCGGCCTCGGGAGCGAAAAAGGGAGACGAGATCCCGGCAGGACATTAAACGGGATTCGGTCGCCGTTGAGCCCGAGATTATGGCGTAATGCGGGGTAATGGCTGCCACTTAGGCTCATATGTACCCATGTAAGCACTCGAGGAAGACTATTACTCTCGGACTCACTCGTCCGTCTCGAAGTCGTTCTGTGAATCGACGTTAATTTGACGCTAACGAGTGCTCGCATCCTGCGCGATTCGCCCTGACGTATTACACGGTGCGTCTTTACCGCACTTTTACCGTGGAAAGAGGAAAGAGCAGCCCCTTTGAAGTCCCGGTTTGCATGCCAAGTGGAATCGGTAATGTCGACTCGATACTCGTTAAAGGTATCTCCCTCCGATATATATATTTTTTTCTTTTCTCTCCGAAGCGCCGCTAATTAGCCGACACTATTTACCGAGTACTTCGAGATGAGCTCCTTGAATCCCAGATATATATATATTTTTTTTTTACATCTCCCTTGCACGTATCATTACACGATCACGTATATATGTACACGTTAGAGCAATGTGGTTAGGCTTTGGTTAGTAGCGCTATCTAGCGACTATTTTAGCCTGCGAAACCCTTTGTTGGTACTATAACTGATATTTAAAAAATCTCATGTAATTGTGATTTTGATCACAGACGGATTTATATCTATAGTTGCACTTTTTTTTGTTGTTAATTCATGTGGTCACCCTCTTGGTACCGACCGCACTCAACGTTGATTAAGGTGAAGTGAAACACGTCGAGGAACTTGATCAACCTCGATAAAGAAGATTTTTCTAAATGCCTACGTTGCCGACGTTCGTTTTTATATCGACAGNAAGTGAGGACGATGACTTCCACCGCTAGATGGCACGTTTCATCTTCGATATGAGCACTCGTTAAGCTCGATCGGTTTAGAAATACGTTCGGAATCGTTGTCCCCGTGAGGCCCTGAAAAATTGCTGGAGTGGTGAGCGCCCTTAAGTGAGATTTTCGTAGCGTCGAGTGATACGTGATGTATATACGTGTACGGAACAGGTAGGTATTTATATTCGTCATCTTACACCGTGACTTTTATTGGAAATGATTTCTTAATTTGCATTTTTTATTAGGAATAAAGTCTTGGTTTTTATTAGATTGGCCGATACTCGGAAATCCATGGTTGGCAACGTGAAGAATTCGTTGGCGAAACCAGGTCTCCTGTAATTAGCGGCGGGATATTAATCTTACCGCATCGTCGCGTGGACTTAATGGCTCGTAATGGCCAAAAGACATCATCAAGAGACTTCTTTATTTTCCTTCCTCAAAAGTCTCTCTTCCGAGTTTTTTGAGACTCCATGCATGTCGTAAATAAGCGATAACTCGTGCGCTTTAAGGGCGCTCACCACTCCAGCGATTTTGCAGGGCCTCACGGGGACAACGATCAGAGCCTTCGATAATTGTATATTGATCGAAATATGAGAGCTCGACGCCATTTTGGTTCTGCTCTGGACTGAGTTAACAAATTCTTTTGAAAAATCCAAATTTTCAATGTGTCAGGACAATTCCTAGATGATCAGGAGTGATGTGTCAAAGTTTCGGACAGTTCGGTCTAATACCCTTAAAAAAAGGTGTTGTATTCGAATCGACTGATTTGAAGGGTGTTTCACTTCACCTTAACTTCGGTGATTGGGCGAGAACAGATGATTTCAACGTGAGTTAAGCGTTGACTAGTTATGTTGTTGTTATCACAGGATCGTCGAAAGATCATATCCCGAATATGGAACGTCAAGGGCGAGGGTCGATCTCCATAATTTTGAGGAAAACCACCGAGGCAGGAATCGCTGCATATTCATTGGATGAAAAGCACGAATCTCGCGACTGCTGCTGATTATTCATCGTACGAAACCGTAGACAAGAGCAGATTTTGCACACGACTCGTACGGGATTTATCAGCGACATGAAAATTCCACATTTACTTTCCAGACTTCGGTGTTGATTTTTACTAACATTAAAAAATATCCAATTATCCGAATACCTGACTAGCCATCGTCATTTGTCGCCAAGGCAATAAAAAATCCCTAAATAAATAATTAAAATGTATAATATGTGCCCATAATTACGAAAGTGGTCTAAGTCAAAATTAAAAAAAAAAAATGAGTTTATCAGTTATTTCACACCACATTATTTTAAACTAAATGAATTCAATGTAATTTCGAAACAGAAAATACATGACTTAGACCACTTTCATAATTATGGGCACATATAATGACAACAATCTTAATAATATAATTCAGGAAATGTCAACGGCAAAGTTTGATAAGTCGTGAAATTTTCTGAATCAAGAAACTCGGTTGAGTTTCGAGCCAAATACATTTAACGGCGTTCACCACCAAGTGCGGACGATGACTTCCACCGCTAGATGGGTAAATAAATTTTTTTGAAAAATCCAAATTTTTAATGTGTCTGGATAATTCTTAGTTGATCAGGAGTGATGTGTCAAAGTTTCGGACAGTTTGGTCTAATACCCT